ATCTCTTTTGGAAAGGGCCCTTGTAATCAACACAATGACCCTCTCAACAATCTGGTACATCCTCTTTATTGTAGGTCTAGCCTCAACTACGGGCAAAAGATTCAGAAAAAAAAATATTCAAATATCTATGGAAAGACATCATTGAGAGTGGCAAAACGATCCCTAAAGCGACCTGGTGGAAAATTACTCAAAAATGGGCTCGGAAGGATGGAAATCCGGGCCTGTTGGATATGAAATTGTAAAAGAAGGCCGTGTTGTTAAAGTGGATTGCCATAATGTTAATCCCGAATGAAGAACCCCCGTGGATTAAGACTACATTGTACATTTTTTCCAATAATGAAGGACCCTAAACCAAAAAGATTTATGACCCTGCTTCTTCATCATAGGATTTTTAAACAAAAGAATCAAATCAAACATTTGAAAATCAATCCTGGACGTCTGGAAATCCCTGTTGTCATACACTATCTGTTGGTCACAGTTATACCAGAAAATCTTGATACAACCACTTTTCGATAACCTAACAATCAAAACTACTGATAGGGTGTCTTTTTCTTCGTCCTCAAAGACACGGGCCTTCGACATACCGTGGTGCCAACATGGGATATCACAAATTCGTCACACTTGTGGTCATCGCTCACAAGCGTTGGGTAACAACAACAAACTTGATGCTGAAGCTAAAGAATCTTAGTAATGTGGAATCACACATGTCAAACATTTTAGAAGTCATACCAAGGAATTGAAAAAATCTTTTGTTGAACGAAAAACTCCAAAAGGATTCACGAGTCACAACTTTAGAGAAACCAACCCAATTATGGAGGGTCTAGAAAATACTTGATGAAGAGGTTACTTTGTGTGAAGAATGAAAGTACTCTAATGACACTTTCACAAAACAGGATACACGACAGATTGCCCTTCCCAACAATTCACTCTTGCAAGTTTTGGTTAAGACTACTGAGAGACAGTTGAGGGGTAAATCCATACAAACTCATATACTTTTGTTGGAAGGTAAACCTCTGCTGAATTGCAAGATTAACCCATTATCCTATGGTTGGGTAATTTTAACTGCAAAATAATATAATTGTGCTCTAATCGATTATTGTGTCACAACAGGCTACAACATGGGTTCCAAGTACGAGTTTTTCAATATGCTCGAACTTTGGGAAGTATCTGAAAACTTATCTCGTGGTGAAACATGTCAGCCTACTCTGGCTATATTTCATGTTTAACGTGTCAATCATTAAATGGTGTGTGGTCAAGGGCATGAACATCAACATCTTTTGTGATTCATGCCAACCCCTGGGAATTGAAGACGCCCGTCACTTCAACAGGAAAATTTCTACAAGAAATGAAAGTTGAAAAAACATTTCATAAAAAAAAATTATTCCTATTTATAAATTATAATTCCAATGTTCGTCAAATTCTAAAATTTACAGTTTTACTTTATAAGTTTTTGTCTAAATATGAGTTTTCTCTTCTAACTACATCTATTTGTTCAAGATGGAATGAAAGTCTGAACGATTTTATAAAATATTTTAATTAAACTTTCATTCTACTACAACAAATATTTTTTACTTTATATTGGATTAACATATTTACGACTGAAAAACCTCACATAAAATGACAGTCCAATTAAAATATTTGATAAACTCGTCCAGACTTTCATTCCATCCCTAGCATGAATTTCAAATAAAAAGGGATACCCTATTATTGGAATGAAAGTTTTCAAGTAAGACGAAAAATTTTAAAATCGGAATGACATTTTTTAAGATGGAATGAAAATTTAAAATTTAAAATGTAATTTTACTATAGAATGATTATTTAATTATTAAAAAAAAATATATTGTTGTGGTGGGAGTATCTCTCTATCGTTTCTTTTTGGTACATGTATAAAGAGATGTGGGTCACAAAACTCACAACCTACCCTACAAATTCTCCTTCACAGGTGTGAAGCAAGGAAACGACCCTCACTGACAACAATCCGCCCTACAACAGTCCGCCCTACAGAAGTATCTAAAACATTGATTCTTTGACTACTATGAAGAAAATGTAATACCCTCTGTTTCGAAGGTAAGACCAACAATATATCATCTTTCAAGTACTTGATGCTCTCCGAACTTAAACTCACAATGTAAGTTGACCGGCGACATATTAGCAGATCGAGGAAAACAAACTCTCTAAAATTCACTTTGTTTATGAAACTTTGAGGTTTCATATATGTCTGGGCAGTTCCTTCCACTAAAGGTGACCTTATATTTAGTGTTATTTTGTGTTCCACTAGTAGGTCGCGCTGCGTTGTTTTGCATTTTTTTTTTTTGCATATGATGATTTCTTTGAAAGACCTCTATCTAATCTTGTAATATGGTTTTTAGTAACTTGTTTTCAAGTACTAAGCGTGTATATAAACGCTTTCAGTAAATATAGTAGTTATAAGTTTGTCTAAGATTATCAGGTATAAGTCAGTACAAAACAGAATATGTATACTGGCAGAGAAGTTGTTGCTTTTTCGGATAAGTCATTTCACCAACTTGGGTCTTCAGTTGTTTCGAGCCACAGTAGGCTCTTCAACGGGTAAAATGTTATCCAAGAGCCACTAGGTTTTGGGGAGCTATTACCCTCCCTCCGTCAAGTTAGTCTGGGTTCAGACCGTATTTTATAACTTTGTATCAGCCTTATTAGTTTTGTTCCACTGATGTGAATGAGGTCATCTCTCTAGTTTTTTACAGAATGACAACTGGTTTCCAATTAGGAAGTCTTCATCCTTCAGAAAAACAATAGACAACAAATATCAACAATTATAATATCGACTATAATTTTTATATATTGAGCTCATTGTGCTCCCAATCAGGGTAACCGGCGTTCGGGACGGACCGAACGCCCGAACGTATGGGACCCCTCATCAAAAAAATATGAAAAAAAGATATATTATGGAGAAAAATAAATTAAACAAGATTTGCCCGAGCATTACATCCGAATTCCTTACCAAATTTGAAATAAAAATAAAATACGGAAAACAAATACTAATAATAAAAATAAAAAGAGAATTATATTTAGTGAGTGCGCAAGCATGTTTTCGACACCGTCATCTTTTGCGATTTTTTTTTTTTTTTTTTTGCATAGCTAAATGCCCTGAAAATTTATAGATGTGTATTTCACATAATACAAAACCCACTAAAAAAAATTCAAAAAATAATAAAATTGTTTAGACACCGAACTAAAGTGAAAACGAAAAATAAAAAGTGAAAAAATACGTGGGCGAGCACGTTTTGACACCGCCATCTTTGGCAATTTTTAGTTCTTATTTGGCTTAGCCAAATGACTTCAAAATTTACAGGCATGTACCTCACGTTGTAGAAAACTCGTAAAAACATTCAGAAAAAAAATAATTATTTTTAGGCCCCGAAATAATTTTTGGCGGGGACCGAATGCTGTAGGGTTCGGACCTCGAACGGGACCCCGAACACCCGTACGTACGGAGGTCTGCTCGGGGACCTCCGTACGTACGGGATGGTGACCCTGTTCCCAATACTATTTTGATAGCCTAGGGACGCTGAATCCGGTTTCCAACAACCTTTTCATTGCCCTATTACTGTTTGGGATGTTGAATCCAATTTCCAGCAACAATTTTTTTCTCATATGGGATGCTGAACCTGGTTTCCAACAACATTTTTCTCAGATGGGACGATGAACCTGGTTTCCAATAACAAAACAATTTTTGTATTGGGGGTCTGGACCAGTTTTCCAGCATAAGACTAAACTAGGTTATGACCCCAGAGTTTCACCCAGGTAGAATTGTGAGGTCTCCAACCTCAATTATTTATCAAGAAATACAGACATTCATTCTTAAACCACTAGTACCTATGCAAGTGTTGGAAAATTACGAGTTTTTATCAATTCCCAAAAAAATCGAGGATGAAACCAGGGTCGGCAAGTCCCATAAATCTTAGTTTTTTATTGCTCGCGCGTGAAAGGAAAAAGGGGGGGTGGGGGGGGAATTGTATTGCAATGATGTCGGGCAGGGTAGTTTAGGAGGTCGTGTTCATAATCTTCCTCTATCGAATGCATTTTACAGCAAACATGGTCACATTTTGAAAGTTATTGTTTTCTTTTTTTTCTTTCTCGTGTGTTTGTTATGAGTCCCTTGCCAACGAGACAGAGCGGAATCCGTGATCTGCTCAAGCTGTGTTTCCTTAAAGGATTGTAACGCTCATCGCACTGATACTTAGAGGAATGTATCCAACCATTTTAACGGATGAATCCCTATTTCTAATTTTTATCTTTGTTTTTTTCTCTTTCTAGAATCTGATAGTGGAATCCGTGATCTGCTCAAGCTGTGTTTCCTGAGAGGATTGTGACACTGATCACATTGACATTTAGAGGAATGTATACAACCATTTTCACGACCGAACCCGTGTTGTTGTTTTGTTTATTTTTCTTGTCTTTATGAAATCTGACAACCTGGGCACAGGGCTGAGATGCCCTCGCCGAGGGCACACTCACACAACCACTTCCAATAATGTATACAACTGCATTCACGATCACAACTTTGTTTCCTTTTTTCATCTTTTCTTCTTTCGTGAGTTCCACGTTGCAATTTTTTTTCTTTTTTTTTCCCGTGAGAGTACCAGGAGGAAAATGGAGTGGGACCCAGGCTCGGCAAAACGCAGTGAAATTCAAGCTCGCCAAAAACAGGCTTGGAAAAAAGGAAAAAAGCGAACACTGGGTAATGCTCCCAGAATACCTCTAATGCCCGATTTCCCGGGTAGACTGCCAGGACCCTGGCCTCAACAAATTTTGGATTAAAAAAAATAATAATAAAATGCAACGAGGTAAGATAGTAGGGGTAGCGGGTGGGCTGGCGTGGGGAAGGGTAGGGAAGGTGGCCTATCCTGTCAGGACAACCATCTGCTGCCGGTGCCAGTGATGACCGTGGGTCTGGTCCTTGGCCTCGACAACACCCTGGGTTCCGCCGGTCTCATTAGACCTCGGACGCGAGGCGCAGGACTCGATCCCACGCACTGGCCTACCGGTAGGTCAGTCGGTCCTGAACTGTTGAAATACAACCGTGGTTCGAACTCCGCCAATTAAAAACGAAGGAAAGGAATCGATCCGAGGCGACCGTTTTGCAAGGCGGAAGCTTTGGATTCGTTTCGATGCGATTTGAGCTGATGCGCGCGCACGGGCGGGGTGATGAGCTGCGCGTCTCGTCAGGGTCAGGGGAAGTGCTGTGATGGGTGCTGGCTATGGTGGATATCAGAGCAAGCTTCCATTTATCAAAAGAGAGGACGATAGGAGGATCGCCATAGCCGCGATGCATGCACTCCGCAACTACTTTCATCCTACTCGAGAGAAGAACGTCTGCAGCCTGACCCGCTGTATCTAGATCATGTAGAAATTCATTTCGTCTTGACGTCACATATATATATATCCTCCTCCCATCTCCCTCTCTCTTCTCCCTCTTGTCGCCTTCCCCCTTCACTATCCCTTTCCAGTGTGCATGCAATCCCGGAAATCCGTGACACGTGGGGGATAGCGAGAGGCGCGCGCACAGACATATACGAGTTTGCGTGCTCCCCAAACGCACGCAGACAGAAGAGAGAGACACACACACACACACACACACAGAGAGAGAGAGAGAGAGAGAGAGAGAGAGAGAGAGAGAGAGAGAGAGAGAGAGAGAGAGAAATCATGGATATGGAAATTGATCAGGATGAAAGGAGAAGGGATGGCATGGAGCTACTCGATTCAGATGATGTGGAGGATGCGGTATTTGATCTTCCCACCTCTTCTCTGACATCCGCCAAACCTTTGCGGGATATCTTCGCAAGTTTCTTTTTGCTCGGGTAAGCGATCCCGATCTGGCCTGGTCAATTATCCTTCTTTGCTCTTGACTCTACTTCTCTCTCTCTCTCTCTCTCTCTCTCTCTCTCTCTCTCTCTCTCTCTCTCTCTCTCTCTCTGTGTCTCTTCCCAGCCCCGTCTTCTTCCCCTAAGGTCCCCTGGGGTTGATGTTAACCATTGGCTGGCTTTGACCGTGCGTCTACTTCTAGCCCGATTTCCTATTGTCCTCTCCTGACATGCAAGTCTTCCTCACGTTACCTACTCGTCCTTCCCTCTCCCCCCCC